GCAGATGACATGATAGTATACCTAGCAGACCCCATCGCCTCAGCCCAAAAACTTCTGAAACTGATAAGCAACTTCAGCAAAGTCTCAGGATATAAAATCAATGTGCAAAAATCACAAGCATTCCTATACACCAATAACAGACTTAAAGAAAGCCAAATCAAGAACGAACTGCCATTCACAATTGCTACAAAAAGAATAAAATACATTAGAATACAACTCACAAGGAACATAAGGGACCTCTTCAAGGAGAACTACAAACCACTGCTCAACGAAATCAGAGAGGACACAAACAGATGGAGAAACATTCCATGTTCATGGTTAGGAAGAATTAATATCGTGAAAATGGCTATACTGCCCAAAGTAATTTACAGAATCAATGCTATCCCCATCAGGCTACCATTGACTTTCTTCACAGAACTGGAAAAAACCACCATGAACTTCATATGGAACCAAAAGAGAGCCCGCATAGCCAAGTCAATTCTAAGCAAAAAGAACACAGTGGGGGGCATCACACTACCGGATTTCAAACTATACTACAAGGCTACAGTAATCAAAACAGCATGGTACTGGTACCAAAACAGAGATATAGACCAATGGAACAAAACAGAGGCATCGGAGGCAACACAACATATCTACAACCATACAATCTTTGATAAACCTGACAAAAACAAGCAATGGGGAAAGGATTCCCTGTTTAACAAATGGTGTTGGGAAAACTGGCTAGCCATGTGCAGAAAACAGAAACTGGACCCCTTCCTGACACCTCACACTAAAATTAACTCCAGATGGATTAAAGACTTAAACATAAGACCTGGCACCATAAAAACCCTAGAAGGAAATCTAGGCAAAACTATCCAGGACATAGGAGGAGGCAAGGACTTCATGAACAAAACACCAAAACATTGGCAACAAAAGCCAAAATAGACAAATGGGACCTAATCAAACTCCACAGCTTCTGCATGGCAAAATAAACAGTCACTAGAGTGAATCAGCAACCAACAGAATGGGAAAAAATTTTTGCAGTTTACCCATCTGACAAAGGGCTGATATCCAGAATTTACAAAGAACTCAAACGGATTTACAGGAAAAAAACAAACAAGCCCATTCAAAAGTGGGCAAAGGATATGAACAGACACTTTACGAAAGAAGACATATATGAGACCAACAATCATATGAAAAAATGCTCATTGTCACTGGTCATCAGAGAGATGCAAATCAAAACCACATTGAGATACCATCTCATGCCAGAATGGCAATCATTAAAAAATCTGGAGACAACAGATGCTGGAGAGGATGTGGAGAAAAAGGAACACTTTTACACTGTTGGTGGGAGTGTAAATTAGTTCAACCATTGTGGAAGACAGTGTGGCGATTCCTCAAGGCCTTAGAAATAGAAATTCCATTTGACCCAGCAATCCCATTACTGGGTATATATCCAAAGGACTATAAATCGTTCTACTATAAGGACACATGTACACTAATGTTCATTGCAGCACTGTTTACAATTAGAAAGACCTGGAATCAACCCAAATGCCCATTGATAATAGACTGGATTGGAAAAATGTGGCACATATACACCATGGAATATTATGCAGCAATCAGAAATGATGAGTTTGTGTCATTTGTAGGGACATGGATGAATCTGGAGAACATCATCCTCAGCAAACTGACACAAGAACAGAAAATGAAACACCGCATATTCTCACTCATAGGCGGGTGATGAAAAATGAGAACACATGGACACAGAAAGGGGAGTACTAAACACTGGGGTCTATTGGGGGGAAAAGGGAAGGGCCAGTGGGAGGGGGAGGTGGGGAGGGGATAGCCTGGGGAGAAATGCCAAATGTGGGTGAAGTGGAGAAAGGAAGCAAAACACACTGCCATGTGTGTACCTATGCAACTGTCTTGCATGTTCTGCACATGTACCCCAAAACCTAAAATGCAATAAAAATTTTTTTTAAAAATGATGAGTTTGTATCCTTTGTAGGGACATGGATGAATCTGGAGAACATCATTCTCAGCAAACTGACACAAGAACAGAAAATGAAATACCGCATATTCTCACTCATAGGCGGGTGAAGAACAATGAGAACACATGGACACAGGGAAGGGAGTACTACACACTGGCATCTATTGGGGGGAATAGGGGAGGGACAGCAGGGCGGGGGGAGCTGGGGAGGGATAGCCTGGGGAAAAATGCCAAATGTGGGTGAAGGGGAGGAAGGCAGCAAAACACACTGCCATGTGTGTACCTATGCAACTATCTTGCATGTTCTGCACATGTACCCCAAAACCTAAAGTGCAATTAAAAATTAATTAAATAAATAAGAAAATGAAAATAGGGTATTTTTGTTTGTTTGTTTTTATTGAGACGGAGTTTTGCTCTTGTTACCCAGGCTGGAGTGTAATGGCGCGATCTCAGCTCACTGCAACCTCCGCTTCCTGGGTTCAGGCAATTCTCCTGCCTCAGCCTCCTGAGTAGCTGGGATTACAGGCACGCGCCACCATGCCCAGCTAATTTTTTGTATTTTTAGTAGAGACGGGGTTTCACCATGTTGACCAGGATGGTCTCGATCTCTTGACCTCGTGATCCACCCACCTCGGTCTCCCAAAGTGCTGGGATTATAGGCATGAGCCACCATGCCTAGCCGGAAAATAGGGTATGTTAAACCAGTGTACTGGGGATGGCAGGGAAGAAAGATGGAAGTACCTGGTTCTTGACATTGTTATCACACCTAAACTAAGCCACCCCGCATCCTCTTACCTACACACATGATTGTGTGAATTAACAAATCTGCATTGTCTAAGCTCATTCAAGACAGATATTTGATCACTTCCAGCCAAGATCACTGTGATGCACACTTCCTCCCAGACTCCAACACACACAGCCTATAACTTGCCTCCACTTTACTTGGGTTCCCTGTGCTTCCTTAACTTGCATTTTGGTTGATGGTACAGCCATCACCCACAGAAATACCTGTGACTCTTTTTTCTGAGACAGGGTTTTGCTCTTGTTCTCTTGTTGCCCAGGCTGGAGTGCAATGGTGCAATCTCAGCTCACCACAACCTCTGCCTCCCACGTTCAAGTGATTCTCCTGTCTCAGCCTCCCAAGTAGCTGGGATTACAGGCATGCATTATCACACCTGACTAATTTTGTATTTTTAATAGAGGAGGGATTGCTCCATGTTGGTCAGGCTGGTCTCGATCTCCCAACCTCAAGTGATCCACCCACCTCGGCCTCCCAAAGTGCTGGGATTACAGGTGTGAGTCACTGCGCCTGGCCTCTCATGACCTTTTTACTGCCTGTGGGAAACTATTCATATCTGGAGAACTCTAAGTGTATTGCCTCACCTGGCCTCTCTCTAGCTTCTTATTTTGTTTTGTTTTACTTCTAACATTGTCATTGCAGAAGTAAAGTAAAGCGGAGAATATCTGAGCAGACAAAGCCAGTTAGGCCTCCTAAGTGACCTTATCATTGCTTGATTCACAAACACAAGCAAAACTGAAGCTATTTCTTGTGAATGCCTATATTAATGAAAAAACAGAACTGAAATTCAACCAAAAAGAAGCCGCCAACAAACTTACATAACTAGGGACTTTTCAGTGGAACAGATGAAATAAGGTAACTTTATAAATGTAACCAATCAAATATTTTCCATGTATCACATCTGCATCTCTCTATAAAAGCCTTTGTCTTCAACAGATTTTTTGAACCACTTCGGCTTTGGAGCTGCCTGATTCATGAATTGCCATTTGCTCAAATAAACACTTTAAAACCGTATTGTGCCTCAGTTTATTTTTCAACATCACAAACGGAAATTACATTGGGCATTTATGTGCTATCAAATTATCTGTTTATTATCTATTTTCAATGTAAGTTCTATGATAATACTGACCTTGCCTCTTTTGATCACAACTGTCTCCTCAGCATAAAGATCATGGTCTGGCACATCAGAGTCGATACTTCAAAATTATTTTATGAATGCATAAATGATTGGATGGCTGCAATCTACCTTTCCCACATGTTCTTCCTAAATACCTTCTCATAACCCCTCTCTCATCCATGAAACTAGTAACAGTGCATCATTATATTAGTCTGTTCTCACATTGCTATAAGGAACTACCTGAGACTGGTAATTTATGAAGAAAAGAGGTTTAATTGACTCCCAGTTCCACAGGCTGTACAGGAAGCATGGCTGGGGAGGCCTCAGGAAACTTACAATCATGGCAGAAAGCAAAGGTAAAGCAGGCACATTTTCATATTGCAGAGCAGGAGAGAGAGAGAGAGAGAGAGAGAAGGGGAAGGTGATGTACACCAACAGGTCTCATGAGAACTCTATCACAATTCTAGGGGGATGGTGCTAAACCATTAGAAAATACCCCAGGATCTAATCACCTCCCAGCAGGCCCCACCTCCAACATTGGGAATTACAATTCGACATGAGATTTGAGCGGGGACACAGATCCAAACCATATCAACCATGCATGCCTCAATGTGTCCCACTCCAACTATTTGTTCCTACAGTTATCACCACATGACTTACTCATTCTTTGATGCCCAACTCAAATTCTGCTTCTGAGGGTCATTGGGGGACACTAGAAAGATCAAGGTAATTGACTCACCTTAGAATCCCAGCTGTGCCACTACATAGCTGTGGGATCCTGAGCACGTTACTTAAAGCCTCTGAAGCTTTGTTGCTTCACTGTAAAACAGGGCTAAGCTATCTACCTGAGCAGAGTTTATTTGCTTGTGAGTTTTACAGCAGATTCAATGAGACAATTCAGAAAAGGGACCCATATATGAAGCCTTCTCCCTCCTCATTGATCCAACAGCCACACAAGAGTCAGAAGTCTCTGATTTCTCTGATCACCAACAAGATTCCATCACTGACCATTGATACTTCCTGCCTTGTGACATTGTATGTCTGCAGCCACGTCCCCATTCCTCCCAACCCACCCCACCCCACCCCAGAATGTAAGTCCATCAGGGCAGGGGCTATATTTCCTTAATCTACATCTCCAGAGTATTTGGCACATGGTAGAAGCTCAAGAAATATTTGTGGAATGAGCATACATGTGAGTGATAAAAGAATTGAAGTCGGGAACATCAGAGTTATGGCTAAACATGGGAGAGAGGAGAGCAAGTGTCCAGGTTCATACCACAGAAGGGTGTTCTCTTTTTTTATTGTACTTTAGGTTCTAGGGTACTTGTGCAGATCATGCATGCAGTATTGTTGCATAGGTACACACATGCAATGTGGTTTGCTGCCTCCATCCTTCCATCACCCACATCTGGCATTTCTCCCCATGTTATCCCTTGCTGACCTCCCCACCCCTCCCCCCGCTGTCCCTCCCTTGGCCCCCCCTCCACAACAAACCCCAGTGTGTGATGCTCCCCTCCCTCTGTCCATGTGTTCTCATTGTTCAGCATCTGCCTACAAGTGAGAACATGCGGTGTTTGATTTTCTGTTCTTGTGTCAGTTTGCTGAGAATGATGGTTTCCAGATTCATCCATGTCCCTACAAAGGACACAAACTCATCATTTCTTATGGCTGCATAGTATTCCATGGTGTATATGTGCCACATTTTTCTTGCCTAGTCTATCGTCGATGGGCATTTGGGTTAGTTCCAGGTCTTTGCTATTGTAAACAGTGCCGCTCTGAACATACATGTGCATGTGTCCTTATAATGGAATGATTAATAATCCTGTGGGTATATACCCAGTGATGGGATTGCTGGGTCAAATGGAATTTCTATTTCTAGGGCCTTGAGGAAGCACCACACTGTCTTCCACTATGGTTGAACTAGTTTACACTCCCACCAACAGTGTAAAAGTGTTCCTATTTCTCCACATCCTCTCCAGCATCTGTTGTCCCCAGATTTTTTAAGGATCACCATTCCAACTGGTATGAGGTGGTATCTAAATGTGGCTTTGATTTGCATTTCTCTAATAATTAGTGATCTCAAGCATTATTTCATATGTTTGTTGGCCTCATATATGTCTTCTTTTGAAAAGTGTCTGTCCATATCCTTCTCCCACTTTTGGATGGGTTTGTTTATTTTTTTTCTTGTAAATCTGTTTTAGTTCTTTGTAGATTCTGGATATTAGCCCTTTGTCAGATGGATAGACTGCAAAATTTTTTTTCCATTCTGCTAGTTGCTGGTTCACTCTAATCATGTTTCTTTTGCTGTACAGAAGCTCTGAAGTTTAATTAGGTCCCATTTGTCTATTTTGGCTTTTGTTGCCAATACTTTTGGTGTTTTAGTCATGAAGTCCTCACCTATGCCTATGTCCTGAATGATTTTGCCTAGGTTTTCTTCTAGTGTTTTTATGGTGTTAGGTCTTATGTTTAAGTCTTTAATACAACTGGAGTTAATTTTAGTGTAAGGTGTCAGGAAGGAGTCCAGTTTCTGCTTTCTGCATACTTCTAGCCAGTTTTCCCAACACCATTTATTAAGGAGGAAATCCTTTCCCCATTGCTTGTTTTTGTCAGGTTTGTCAAAGATCAAATGATTGTAGATGTGTGGCATTACCTCCGAGGCCTCTGTTCTGTTCCATTGTTCTACATTTCTGTTTTGGTACCAGTACCATGCTGTTTTGTTTACTGTAGTCTTGTAGTATAGTTTTAAGTCAAGTAGCATGATGCCTCTGGCTTTGTTCTTTTTGCTTAGGATTGTCTTGGCTATATGGGCTCTCTTTTGGTTCCATATGAAGTTTAAGGTCATTCTTTTCCAGTTCTATAAAGAAGGCCACTGGTAGCCTGATGAAGATAGTGTTGAATCTGTAGATTACTTTGGGCAGTATGGCCATTTTCAGGATATTGATTCTTCCTAACCATAAGCATGGAATGTTTCTCCATTTGTTTGTGTTCTCTCTTATTTCCTTGAGCAGTGGTTTGTAGCTCTCCTTAAAGAGGTCCTTTACATCCTTTGTTAGTATTCCTAGGTATTTTATTCTCTTTGTAGCAATTGTGAATGAGAGTTCGCTCATGATTTGGCTCTCCATTACTCTGTTATTGGTGTATAGAAATGCTTGTGATTTCTGCACATTGATTTTGTATCCTGAGACTTTGCTGAAGTTTCTTATCAGTTTAAGGAGATTCTGGGCTGAGATGATAGGGTCTTCTAAATATACAATCATGTTGTCTGCAAATAGAGACAATTTGACTTCCTCTTTTTCTAATTGAATACCCTTTATTTTTTTTGTCTTGCCTAATTGCTCTGGCTAGAACTTCCAATACTATATTGAATAGGAGTGGTGACAGTCTTTGTAGTTGGTGACTTTCAGATGGGGTCTCTGAGTGGACGTCCTTTTTGTTGATGTTGAAGCTATTTCTTTCTGCTTCTTAGTTTTCCTTCTAACAGTCAGGTTCCTCTGCTACAGGACTGCTGGAGGTCCACTCCAGACCTTGCTTGCCTGGGGATCACCCACAGGGGCTGCAGAACTGCAAGGGTTGCCACAGGTTTCTTCCTCTTCTATCCTCGTCCCAAATGGGTATCTGCCAGATGTTGGCCTGAGTTCCCCTTTATGAGGTGTCTCTTTGGGTATACAAGGGTCAGGGATCTGCTTGAGGAGATAGTCTGTCCCTTACAGGAGCTCAAGGGCTGTGCTGGGAGCTCTGCTGTTCTGTGCAGAGCTGCTGGGCAGGTACCTTTAAGTCTGCTGCAGCTGAACTCATAACCATCTCTTTTCCCAGATGCTCTGTCCTAGGAAGGTTGGCTTTATTTAAAAGTCCCTGTTGTGCTGCTGCCCTTTTTTTATAGATGCCCTAACCCACACGGAGTAGTCTAGTCTCAGTCTGCCAGCAGAGGCATTGCTGAGCTGCCTGCTGCAGGATCTGCCCTGCACTGTGTGAACTGCCTAGGTAGTGGGGGACACTCTTCCTCCCACTGAGCTGGATGGTCCTGGGTCCAGCTGCGCTTGCTGTGAAACTCTCAATCCAGAGCATTTCCAATTGCTTGTTTTGTGAGGGTTGTACCCGCTGAGCCAGCTCCCTGTCTTAGCCCCTTCCCTTTCAGTTAAATGGGCGGCTCTGTCTCCCAGGCGTTCAGGGCGCCAGCTGAAAAGGCAGCCCAGACGTGTGAGTTTCTGTAGGCCTACATGGCGCCGGCTGAAACCACCACACTGAAAACTTGTGGCGCTTTTCAGCCCGGGAATCTCCTGGTCTGTGGGCAGTGAAAACTTGTTTGGAAATGCGGTGAGCACTTACCCTCTATGCTGTTCTTGCTGGGAACTGCACTCTGGAGCTGTTCCTATTCAGTCATCTTGGATCTTCTTCCCCGAGAAGGGTGTTCTCTTAACCTGTCCAGGGGCCAGTCACACCTTGGAAAGAGGCAAAATGAAAGGAAATCAAACGAGGTGCTGAAAACAACAAGTGTAACTCTGGCAACTTCTCTCTCTGCTGCTCAATTCTTCACCTGTGAAAAGAGAGGGCCGAGCCAGATGGTCTCTGGAGATTACAGCAAGGTGGGAGGGGTGTGAGGTGCAGAGCCAGACTCACCTGGTTTGAATCTTGCTGATTTACACCCATCACACCTCTTCTTTGGGCGTGTCTCCTCAGCTGTTAAACAGCATTCATGACACCTAATTGATAAGGCTGTTGAGTGGGTTAAGTGAGACGGTGAGCACACAGCTGCAGGCACGAAGCCCAGCACACAGAAAGGGCTCCACCACTTCTCTCTTTTTGCCACTGCCACTTCCACCCCAAAGATCCTGTCCTTGCCCTTGACCAACCATCTCAAGTATGCATCAGAGTTTCCTCTGCCCTGAGTGGAAGGAAACTCATCCTCCCATCCAACAGTCCCTTCCATGGACTAATGATGGGCCTGAGGGAACTCTGGCCTCTTCACTGCAAAGGTCACTAAACTGGTTCATTTTCCTCCTAGCACAGGAAAACTCCCCTTTCCAGCCCTAGGAGAGGGATAGGTCTAAGCAGGATCATGTGACTAACTCTGGCCACAGAATGTGAGCAGAAGTTTTATCAACCAATTCCACTTCTGACTCATGAAAATTCCTCCTTTGAACAGAACCAAACAGCACGTTCTCACTCACAGGTGGGAGCTGAACAATGAGAACACATGGACACAGGGAGGGAAACAACACACACTGGGGCCAGATGGGGGGTTGGGGTCAAGGGGAGGAAGAGCATTAGGACAAAAACCAAAAGCGTGCAGGGCTTAAAACCCAGATGACGGGGTGATAGGTGCAGCAAACCACCAGGGCACATGTATACCTATGTCACAAACCTGCACGTTCTGCACATGTATCTCAGAACTTAAAGTAAAATTTTAAAAAAAAATTCCTCCTTTGCCTTCTCCCTTTCCCCAGAAAACTTGGAGCCTATACTTGGAGGATGCTGGCATGACAGTTTGAAAGGAATCTGGGTCCCTAAATGACTGCATTAGAATGTGATACGGGTAAGCTATTCGGCTCCTGAGACTACAGGTTTTACTTGTTACTGCAGCTGAGCCTAATCCCCGCTAACTAAATCAGACAGCCTGACACTTCCAAAGGGCGCAGCTCCTAAAACGGGACGTCTTTACCTATTCCCTATCTCGGAATAAGTTCCTCCCTCTCCTGACTCTCTCTTCTCAGGGAGTGGAGACCAGCTTTCTCTACCCCCACCTCCCGCCCCTGCCCTCTATAAGAAGATCTGGATTCTAACATCCAAATGCACATTCACAGTCTCTGCCAAGGTTTCCATCCGTCTTGTGCAAATTGGCTCCTTGCGGCCAGCATGGCATCATGGAGCTCCCCAGGGGAGTTCTGCGATCGGGCCTGCCATCCCATCCTCTGCACCCACTTGGTCTGGACCTCAGTTTCCCCACATCAGAAAGCCCCAGAAGCCTTTACCAGATCTGATATTTGCAAGCCACGGGAAGCATATCTGAGAGTAAATGAATGCCTGAGGCTGACAGCCAGCAGACTGAACCTCAGCCCAGCCTCCCCGACACATGACCACAGCCTCTCTTGGCTGAGTAAACATGTTTTATTGGGCCTGGGTACACTTCCTGGCCATTCTCCTCCCAACTCCCTTCTCCTGCTCTGGCCAGTTCCCCAGCACAGCCCCTCCCTGGGGCCTCCAATACCTGTCCTTCAGATCCCCACTGTCTCCTGACACTTTTCTACCCTGACATCTGCATCCCCAGCCTTAAGGGGCGTGGAGAGTTTCTTCTCTTATCAGCTTGTTTTACTGCCCCTCCTCCTTGGTTACACAGTAATTTGGAGCAAAATTCCTGGCAAGGATAGATCAACAACTGTCAGCTCCCAGCCAGAGAGAAAGGGCCCCTTCAGCGCCGTCTCAGAAGACTGGGAGAAGAAGCAGAAAGGACCCCACAAGGAAGGGAGAGGCGCCCGTGGAAAGAGGGCTTCACATGTGAAGTAAGGTCAGGGAAACTAGAACAGAAAAAAGCCAGGGCCAGCCCAGAGACAGCTGAGAAGAATCAGACTCACAGCTCAGCCCAGCCCTGGCACAGAGAAAAGACAGGCCTGGCAGCACCCAGGGACCCTCTTTCCTCAGCCTCCACCTGCAGGACAGCAGGAGCACTGATGCTCTGGAAGGTATGTTCTGGAGTCTGAAACAGCAGAATTTAAGGAAGTAAAGATGGGTGTCTGGAAAAAATCCTCAAGCTGCTGTGCAGCCCATGGCTGAGTTGGCCACCTGAGGCCACGGGTGGCACTCCAGCCTCCCAGAGGCTGGCTAGAGCCACAGGAAAGGGCCAGAAGCCAGAGAAAGGACAAAGGTGGACACCTGCCTCCATGTCTCCTCTGGAAACTGATCTCCCCTTTCCTGCGCCTTATTGTCTCTCCCTCTTCTCTTTGTTCGCTGCTGGGCAGTGACCGCAGGGATCCTGGCCTAAGCTGGTGATTGGGCAGGAAACTGCATCCACAAAGACCGTTCTCCGGAAGATTGAACCCCAATTCAGCCATGGTGACTCCTTTGACATCAAACTGGTGAGGGCTGTGAGCCGGGGGCACAGGACACCATTCCTTCCAGCTCCTCTGTTGTGATCTGCCCATGGAAGTCCCTGTGGACACGAAATCCTGCTTGGATCATCTAACTGGAGGCTCTCTGTTCTTCACCTCCACATGCCCTCTTGACCCCAGAACGTTCAGGGGAGGAAGTACACCACCCTCCACTGGCACCCCCCTTGGCCTACACAGAGTCACCCCTGAGCCCCTCAATGTGTGCTGAGGTGGGCCCTGCTCTCTACAGGGGTATGGAAAGGAATAGCTTGGGGTGCTGTGAGGCCCCCAAGAAGCTGGGCCTGTCCTTCTCCATCGAGGCGATCCTAAAGAGGCCTTCCAGGGGGAGCGATGTAAACAGGCCAGAAGGGGCAGGCGGAGAGGGCCCCGGAGAAGCTGCAGCCTCAGGCTCTGGCCTAGAAAAGCCCCCACAGGACCAGCCCCAAGGTAAGTGTCTTCTGATCATTTCTTTCTGTTTCCTGGGCTCAAGACCCAGCTGGGGTCAGGCAGAGAAAAAGCTTCTCCGTCTTTATCAACTGAAGAGAGGACTCTAAAATTCAGAGCAAACCTGGCTCTGGGCTGGCTCCCTGGTAGACCTTCCAATCTTTGGTTTTTCAGCCGCAGATGCCAAGGCTCAGTTAGTTGCAGAATTCAGGGACCTGGGGTATTTTCCCATCTCCAGGCCCCAGCTAAGAATGCTAGTTACCATTTATTCTACCACTAATGCTAGTGACCATGCAATAGGCATTCTCTTTTAATTTCAGTAGAAAAGCATGATTATCATAACTGGACAGATAAGAAAACTCTGTGAAAGAGAGGAAGTGGAAAATGTTCCCAAGTTACATGATAGGTAAACAGAAGCCCTGTCATCAGGACCTGGCTCTGACTCCCCTAAATCCCCGTTGGGCCCAATACAATCTCCTCCTTTTAAGCCGAGTTCAGCCTGCACAACTTCCAGGGGCTGAAGCTTTGGCTTGGGAAAGGTCTGTCCACCCTGATCACCTTCCCTGAGCCCGTGGCCACCCCAAGGCATGTCCCCAGATAACAGTGACCAGGCAGATTGAGAGCTGGCTTGAGGAAGGGAGGAAAGCCGCACTGGGGCATTGAGGTGGATACACAGCTGCTAAGAGTCAGGAACGCAGGGTGAGACTTAGGTCTGGCCTGCCGTGTGACCTCAGGTATGTCCCCATCCACTCTGGCCTCAGCCTTATGCTTGGCAAAACACCTGGGTGAAGGAATAAGAAGTGGTGAAGCAGGTGACGTCTCAAGGGTTTTTTGAGTCTGACAGCCACCGAGCCTGGACTATCTCACATGAGGTTCTTAGTTCTCTCCCCTTTTCACCCTTTTTAATCCAAGAAAATGCTGGAAAGGAAGCTCAGGGAGCCCTTGACTTCGTAGAGCTCCACATCCCCCCACCAAGCAAGTCTCCCATGGAAGGAGCTGATGAGGAGTCGCACTCGGCTGCAGGCACGGGGAAGACCAGGAGGGCTGTGTGTCTGCAGGCAGGCAGGAGGCTGGTGTGTTTCCCTATAGCTGAGCTTTCCAAAGGGAAAGAGTTCCCAGCTTAATATTTAGAAGTTCATTAATATCTTCCAGTCCATTGAAGATTCATAGAAACATTTCTACTGGGGTCCTGAGTTTTTCTATGATCACCCTGTGTCACGAACGAGAGGTCTCGCCTCTCCTACCATAGCAGTTTCCCTTTCTCTAGCCTGATGACAGGTTTCAGAAAGGAAGCCACTCTTTCTAGGCCTCACGGAAGAGTCTAGCATGTTCCATGTCAGCTAGCCATCTGGTCCCACAGAACAAACCCCAGCAACTTCCGGCCAGACGAGCAGTGGATGATTCCTTATTACTTCCATTTTCCCAACTCATTGCCACACTTGAGAGCCCAACTTACAGACGATGAAACCAAGAAGAGAAGACAAATCCCCACAAAAACTATGCGAGTGACGAACACTAGAATTTAACCCTGGTGGCCTGAGACTATCCCCTCTAGATTATTCTTGAACATGGTTTAAATCCATCTATCGCCCACTATACTGGAATTCAGCATTTCTGAAAGCTTGGAGAGGGTCCTGCTGGCAGCGCTCAACATGACCTTGGTGGGTGCACAGATAAAAATGATCTAGCTCAATAGCCCTTGGGGCAGGGCTGACTTTGGCCATCTTGTCTGGTGGGGCTGGCCAGGGTAGAATTCTTGGCATTTGAGAAACATCCTGAAGCAAGGGACAGCAACGTTTTTCTGCAAAGGAACAGATGGTAATTTTAAGCTGTGAGGGTCAGATAGTCTCTGTTGTTACTTCTACACTTCCCTTGTATTTATGATGAAAGATATTGCTATCTGTGTGTAATTGTGATATAAGGTTTTATTTTTAAATACATTTATTATTTAAGTAAAAAAAAAAAAAGTCTATTTGGGGAAATGCTAAGCAAACAATACAGATGGGATACCAACACGCCAGAAACTATACAAAAGAAACCTGCAGAAATGGCAAATGAGCTGGAGTCTGTGATACAGGCCAGGTGAGGAGGGCAGGGATTCAGGAAATCTGCCCACTAAGCCCAGATCTGGCCCCAACGCACAAGAGGACCTCAGGCAAGTCACTTCCCTCTCTGGCCTCAATCTCCCCACCTGTAATATGAAAGAGCAGAGCTAGAATATTCATAAAAGTCTCTCCCAGCTCTGACACGCCATGACACATTCAACGACAAATTAGTTGCTGAAAAACTTAGAAGGATTCCCTGGTGGTAATTTTCTATTGCAAAATCTTACTCCCTGCAGAGAGGATGATCATGATGCCAGGCAGGGCGGGAGCAGAGAGACTGGAAGCCTCCCCCTGCCTCTCCCTATATGCCCAGCCCTGTGCTTGTTGCTGCTGGCTGATGCTTCTCTACCCCCTGTCCTACGTCCCTCCTCTTATGCAGGACCCCTCAGCAGAGGGCAACAGGACAAGAAATAGACAGCAACACCCTCCCCTGTCCCAAGAATAATGATAGAGGAGTCAGTTCCTCTTTGTCTCCTTAACATTTAAAGGGCTTCCTAGACTGGCTCATGGACGTCCCTTGCCATTCACCTAGGGCACTTGTTAAAATGCAGCCTGTCAGTCCCAGCACTCAAGACTCTGACTCTAAGTCAAAGGGCCCAGGAATCTGCATTCTAACAAGCTCTCCCAAATGATTCTGATGTTGATGGCCCAAGGAGGTGGTCCTTGGAGGAAGCTGAGACTCAAAAAGGTAAAGCGGCTCTTGCTAAGCTACAGAGCCAGCACACACAAGAGATGAGGCCAGGCTAATTGTCTGGGCTCCAAGGCTAGTGTAGTGCTCTACCTCCCTCATTTCTCATGGCAGAGACCAAGATTCTCCCTGACATCTTCCCATTCCTGAAGGGACCTCCATGATCTATGGGTTGGATCCTCCCAGGTCTTAAGTCAATGGGGAAATCCAAGAGGACCTCCCTATCTGAAAAGATGCTACACCCAGCTTCCTGCTCTCTCCTCCAAGGAGAGACAAATCCTCCAAAACCCAGGACCCTCCAAAGTTAAGGGAGACCCAGTCAGGAGGAAGCCTTTTTATACTGAAATGTCAGACCCTAGGAAGAGAGAGAGAGAGAGAGAGAGAGAGAGAGAGAGAGAGAGAGAGAGAGAGAGAGAGAGAGAGAGAGATCGTTTTTTTTTATCTCTATTGATAAATCCTCTGTGGGGAAATCATAAGCCCAGGGGAAGGGTGATGGAAAATTGGCAAGGAAGAGACCACCCCAGTGGGTAAACTAGTATGGATTGCCTGGCCTGTGGGGAACTCAGTATATTCCCTTGCCTGCTCATCAGCTCTTCATTCATTCCGTGAATAATCACTGAGTGCTTACTCTGGGCCAGGCTGGGGGCGGGGGAGGTAAGGTGAGTAAAACAAGATGTAGTGACTACCCACCTGGAGGGGGATGGGGTCGGCAGGCATGAGAGTTCCTGGCAGTGCCACCTTGGGGCAGTGATGACTTTGGCCATCTTGTCTGTTGGGGCTAGCCAGGGTAGAATTCTTGGCATTTGAGAAGCATCCTGAAGCAAGGGACAGCAACGTTTTTCTGCAAAGAAACAGATGGTAATTTTAAGCTGTGAGGGTCAGATAGTCTCTGTCACAATTACTCAACTCTTTGGTCACAGCTGAAACTCGTCTGTAGACAATGTGTACATAAATGCATAGGTTTATGTTCCAATAAAATTTTATATGCAAAAACAGAGGTCACGCCAGATTTCGCCCTCATGCTGCAGTTCATCAAGGGCCTGCCCCAACGCATGAGTGTGGCACTCAAAGTCCTTCCCAGGCTGGCCCTCTTCGTCCCAGGCTCACCTCCCATCACACCCCCACTGGCCCTGTCTACCCGTGAGGTGCATGCAGCTCCTCTCCAAGTTCCAAACCTCTCTTGCCCTTTAAATGCCTTGGCATCTTTGCCATTTAGAAGCCACTGCTCCTCCTGCCACCTCTTCTTCCTTGTCTTTTCCCTCTTCCTCCCTGTCTGTAATAATTTTCTATGGCTGTGGTAACAAATTACGGTAATCTGTGTGGCTTAAAACCCAGAAATTTATTCTTTTACCATTCAGAAAGCCAGAAATCTGAAATCCAGGTGTTGGCAGAGATAGCTCCTTCTGAGGCTCTAAGGGATCCATGCCGCTCTCGTAGTGTCTGCTGGTTCCAGCAACCCCTTAGCATCATTTGACTTGTAGACCCATCACTCCATTTTGCCTACATCTTCTCACAGCCTTGCCATCTGCCTGTCTGCCTGTCTGTGTGTGTGTGTGTGTGTGCCTGTGTGTGTGTGTGTGCCTGTGTGTGTGTGTGTCTGTATGTATGAAATGCTTCTTTCTCTTATAAGGACACCTGTCATTTGATTTAGATCCCACCCTAAATCTGGGATGATCTTATGTCCAGAGCCTTAATTATATCTACAAAGACTCTATTTCCAAAAAAGATAGCAATTCCCAGGGTTAGAACTTAGACATACCCTTTTGGGGCTCAGTATTCTACCCATTATACCTTCCATCATTTCTTTGTCCCCTCATATTCCTCTTTCTCCTTTTCCTTCCCTGTCCCTCACCTCTTTCTCCTCTCCTCCTCCTTCTCTTCTCCCTCCTTTCCCTAGCCCACCTCCTCCCCTGAACTACCTGAAATCAAAGACAGCTGCTCTGCTATGGGCCCTGAGAGGCAGCCCTGGTTTGGAGCCGTGACTGAGGCCTGCATGGATCTTGTCACCTGGTAATTAACAGCTCTGGCTGTTATGCAAGGAGACCCAGAAGCTCCCATCAGAACAGACAAGAACAGGGCAAGAGGACATGGAGTTTAAAATGGGAACTTTCCCAGGAGAAGTAAGCTTTGGTCTCCCTCCAGTGGACTCTGTCTCTCAGTTCCTGACACCAGAGCTATGGGGACCTCCCTGTGAGCGGGCAGTGGTTCTGGGAGACTGGTTCTAGAATTGAGAACCTGGCTCAGTCTCAGGCCCTGTGGGAGCACAAGAAAGTACAAGGCATGGCCCAGTGAAATAATAATACAAGGAAGGGGAGGCAATGAATAAAGGGTATGTTATTAAGCCAGTGGCCCCTGTGGGTAACTGAAGTTCAGATCCCTTGAGAAATGGAGCAAACATACTCCCCAGAATCATCCAAGGATTTGATCCATAAAGCAAACCCTGACAGTGAGAAGTAGATATGGAGCACAGAAAGGCTTAGGTGATACAAGCCAGGCATTGACAACATCAGCTATAACCATAAGGCCCAGAATGTCAGAGCTAAGGGAAATCCAAGGGGGCAGAGGAGGAGGCTTAAAACGTTGGCTGTAATTTAACTTTGATTTATCCATTGTGTTATTTATCCAGACATGCGATAAATAGCCACTGAATAGCTACTGAGTACCAGGCACACCTATTGCACAACAAATCATCCCAAAACTTAGCGGCTTAAAATAACATAAATATTTATTATCTCACTCAGTTTTGTGGATCAGGAATTTGGAAGTGACTTAACTGGGTGGTTCTGGCTCAGGGTCCATCATAAGATTGCAGTAAAGATGTTATTTGGGGTTGCAGTCGTCTGGAGACTGGACTGGAATAAAAAATGTATGTCCAAGGTGGTTCACTCACATGGCTGGTGAGCTGGTAACAGCCACTGGCGGGAGGGCCCAGTTCTTCCCTATATAGGGCCCTCCACGTGCCACTTGAGTGTCCTCACAAAATGGCAGATACCCTTTCTCAAAGTAAACAATCCTAGAAGGACAGCCAGGTGGAAGCAGCTTGCTTTTAGGACTTAGCCTGAGAAACCACATCACTTCACTTTCACAGTATTTCATTCATTAGAAATGAGTCACCAAGTTGGGCCCACTTAAGGAGAAGTTGAAAAGAGGAGTGTGAACGAAGTTGCAAGCCCATCTGACAGCCACTGCAGTACTGAGTTGGGCACTGGAGATGGTATAGAGCAGTGGTCCCCAACCTTTTTGGCTGGTTTCATGGAAGATGATTTTTCCATGGACAGTGGGTAGGGGAATGGTTTCAGGATGATTCCAGCACGTAACACTTGTTGGGCACTTTATTTCTATCCTTATTTACATACTCACATAATGTAGAATCAATGGGAGCCCTGAGTTTCCTTTTCCTATGAGAATATAATGCTGCCACTGATCACACAGCAGATGAGACAAATAACCATCAAATTATCACAAACGAAAGTATAACCACAATTATGACAAGTGCCGGGAGATGGTGACATGGCACTCCAAGGGACAATTCCACGGGAAGTCGGTCTGTCAGGGAGGTCAGAAAGTGCTTCCCAGAGAAGTTATTGTTAGTCTGTAATCTGAAGACTGAGGAGGGTAGAAGGGAGGGTATTCTCATGGAGGGAGCCCCAAGGACAAGGACCTATTAATAGATGATGTCCAAGGATACAAGTTGAGGTCTAGGAGCCAGAGAGGGGCCAACCCACGCTGGCCTTGTAGGCTATGGTACAGATTTTTATTTTTGCTTTATCTTCTTAGGGGAATGAAGAACCATTTCTGGATTTTAGGCAGGAAAGTGTACGATGATCAGTATTAATGATAACTATTTGGTTCCAACTGACAAAAATTATCTTAGGTTAGCTGAAATGGAGAGGAGTATGTGTTGCCTTGGAGAAAATTAAGAACTCACTTCCCAGACTAAGCCACGTGAAGGGCAGAATAAGCAACCTTCCACCATGATGGGATCCAGAACCAATAATGCCATCAAGTCTCCGCAGCAGTTCTCTCTGCATGTGAGCTCACCTCCCTCTTGCTGCTAACTGGCATTCTCCTGATAGCTTCCAACAGCTCCAAGAGTTACACCAGTCTCTAGTGATGTCCTCAAGATCTCTAAAATCCCATGTTCAAAAGCCCCAGAGGAGGGGCACCCATTGGCCGAGCTTGAGTGAGATGTCCACCTCCAAACCAGTCAATCGAGACCAGAGGATGTAGCTGGAGGAGCTGTGTGTGCTTGGCCCTTGTCTGGAGTCTTCGTCTTGCTGTATTTCTTTTTCTACTTCACTGCTCCATGCTGGGATGATGATTCCTTATTTCAGAGCCCTTAGAACTCTTTATACATCATTTTAGTCTTTATATATGGAAACTTCAAGTTTCTTTAACAATGGCGTGTTCCTAAAGAGGTTTCCTCCCCACTCCTTATAAAGAGGCAGTTGTTAATAATTTGTTGGCCAGAAATGTCTCTTCCTCCTGTTTGCAAAGCCCTGTGACTTTGTATATCTCTAACCTGGGCACTCTGCACATTTGCCACCTTGATCCGTCTTCCATAGGTGTTTAAGCAAAGAGAACAATTAAATTCCTCCCCAGTTCTTGGCAAGAAGGGTAACTAAATATGGATTCCCCTGTTAAACGGGAACAAGTTCCAGGACACTTCCTGTGTCACACCTTGGAACATCCTCTGACTGCACAGCTTGTGTGGTCTGATTGTTCCCCTGCGTCAACACAGTATAGATTGGAGAGGAAGTGGGGACAGTCTGAAGCATAAACACACATACGTGCACACACACATGCATGCATGAAACATACGTATGCATGCACACAATTTCCAAGCAAGGAAGGGAGTTGGAACTGTTGAAATATTATAGTACTATCAAAGCACAGGAAATCAACCCATTGCCACCCTGTTCTAATAATCTGTGCCCATGCTTTATGTTTTAGTCTCACCAGACCTAAGCGCAGTGTCATGAGTCACATTGTCATAACACAAATACGACATACAAACCTAACAAAGTGATTTAGTACACAGAAGAGGGAATAATGAACTCTGCATAAAACCATCAGAGAGGGCACTTCAGACAAGACTGGCGTTTGAGATGGAGTCAGGCAGAGGAAGGCCTTGTCTGGAGTCCTGGAGGTGGCCAGGAAGAGGAAAGCCTGTAAGGCATCCAGGACGTAAAAAAAGGAATCATCCTTTCGAGAAACAATAAAATTGAGTGGCTGGAGTCTAAAAACCATGGAGCGTAGTCACAAGAGATGAAAGAGGTAAGGTAAATGGAAGGTCGAGTGTGTCAAGCCAAGGACTTTAGCCTTTATATATGTACATCAGCATTTTTTAAATCTTAGATTTTAAAATGTTTTGGGAACTTCAGGATTTCATTGAGAGGCATGATCAGAGCTGCCTTGAATGAAAGGAAGAGAGTGGGCCCCCCACACACACTTCAGTAAAGGAGCTCTACCACTGTTTGTTTTGTAGGGTTTCCTTACAATTTCCTTTAACAAAGGGTAGAGTTGCTTTAAAAAAAAAAAAAGAAAGAAGAAAGAAAAATTTTAAAAAATACGTAAGTAAAAAGTATGAGTGTGTGTGGGTGTGGGTGTGCAGTGGTGGGGAGTACATATGCTAAAATTTATGCACACAAACTATTATGAAAGTGAGACCATAGGTGTGGAAGATGCCAAGCCCCACACTGCCTGGAGACTGCTAAGCCAGTCGCCCCTGGGAGACGCACTCCCTTTGCTGGTGAGTTTCTCAAGGGTCTGCTCCTGTTTCGGTGATTTCTTTATTCTCGTCTCTTTTCACCTTTCTGTTTTATTTGGTTGTTTATTCAC